AGTCCCTTGTTCAATGTGCAAAAATTAACTCAAAACGGAGAATTAAAACTATAGAGCTCCTATAAGGGAAAAGGCTTTATGACTTCAGACTTGGCATTGATTTCCTAGGTGTATAAGAGATCAAAAACTTCGGCAATAAAAGAAAAAACTAGGTAAATGTGACTTTGTAATATTTTAAAAACTTTGTGCACAGAAGAACATCATCAAAAGAATGCAATGATAACCAATAGAATGGGAAGAAATATTTGCAGATTGGGTATTTCTTATGGAGGTTATTATCTAGAACACATGACAAATGCCTACAACTCAAAACTAGTGACAAAAAATATTAAATGACCTTAATAAAAATGGGCCAAGAACTTGAGTAGACATTTCTCCAAAGAAGATATACCAACAGTCATCATGTACACAAAAAGATATTCGAGCAGGGGACTTAGCTCAGTGGTGTAAGCAGCCACCTGACAAGTGCAAGGTGGCGAGTTCAATCCCCGGTACCAAAGAAAAGATATTTGATGTCACTTGTCATCAGGGAAATGAAACCCAAAACTACGATACGGTATCTATAACTTAATTATTAAACTGACTGCTACTAGATTAACATAAAACCGTTAAGTATTGGGTTAGGATGTAGAGGAAACTGGAACCTTTTACACGATTGGTGGGACTATAAAATAATGTAACTGCTATGGAAAACAGTATGAAGTTTCCTGAAACATTTTGAATTAGAATTGCTATATAATAGCCAATAGGTAAAGGCAAGCTGACAAAGGAATGTATAAATAAAACGTGGCATAGCAACATACTGGACTACTATTCATCCTTAAAAGGAAAGGGGATTCTGTCACACTTTATAACACAGAGGAACCTTGAGGACATTAAGGGACATAAGCCAGACACAGACAGAAAATACTGTATGATTCAATATAAATGAGGTATCTAACACAGTCAAATTCATAGATACAGGAAGTAGAATGCTTGCTGCCAGGGGTTAGGAGTAGGGAGGATGAGGAGTCACAATTTTGTGAGATAAAAGAATTTTAAAGATCAGTTGCACAACAATGTGAATATACTGAATATCAGTATACAGTTAAAAATGGTTACAGTTAAATATACAGGTAAGATGGGAGTTTTAAATTATGTATTTTTATCCCAATAAAAACAATCTTAGATAGCAGAGACTACTGTCATTTTTACCTCACACAACTGTAGTTAAATCCTGATAATAAATAATGTAACAAACACTGCAATTTATGCCACTAAATCTTAAAAGTCTTTAATATGCTACCCAAGATTTTGTTTGGTTTTGAAAAATCAGAAAAGAAAATTTAAAGAGAACAGGAAAAGTTCATAAAAGTAAAAACTTATTTTCTTCTGAGTTTGGTTTTTCTTTAAATTTTTCTTTTTCCTCTGACTTTCCATTTAGTTATCAATGAAAATAGATTTGTATACTAATGATTTTGGCCTCTTTGTCCTTCACTAAATAAATCAGCCTGCTAGAAATTACTGCAAGTTTCTGTAGAGTCCTGCCCAAAGGAAATTTTTTGGTAATTCTTTCACTCAATAAGTTTTCACTGACTCTTTACTATATTCTAAGCATTACTGTTATGCACTGGGGCAGAAATGAATAACCCATTTTGGGGGCCTTGAAAACTTTACATTCCCAGAACAACTGATCTTTGTTGACCTAGTTATAATCTTCCAGTATATACATTTACTGTGGTAGGTCACCATCCATCAGAGATGCTATCCCAGGACTTAGTCAGACTTATGTATTTAGTGAAGACCAATCACTCAATTGAGCATGTTTCAGTAAGTTTGTTGTCAGAAACTGAAATAGATTTATCCAAATGTATATAAATGATTTATATATAAATAAAATAATATATAAAATACAGCTGTAGGAAAATAAACAAGCTTTAATAAAATCATTGGTTTGGATTAAATTTTGAGTTTTATTTCAGAAGAGTTTAATTAATAATTTAACCTAGCAATGAATTTCAATTCTTTTATTTAGATAACTTCAAGGTTAAATATTGTATTGGTCAGCTTTATTGTTGCTGGGACAAAATGACATCCAAAACCTAAGAGGAAGTTGATTTTGGCTCATGGTTTCAACCGTGGTCATCTGCTACACGGCAGAAATGGCTTGGCAAAGAGAATGTTGGGGGAAAGCTGCTAAATCTTTAGCAGTCAGGAAGCAGAGAAAATAAGCAAGAACCAGAGACAGATGAAGAGGCCAGGTAAAAGAATACATACACCCTCGCAGGTCACTCGCCTAGTCATTTGCTTCCTTCAACAAGCCTCCAGCACATGAAGCTAGGCTCAGTCAATGGATGAATACACTGACGAAGAAAGTGCCCCCAGGACCCAACCACCTTCCCAAGCCCCACCTCTGAACACATGAGCCTTTGGTGGACCTTCTGGATCTAAACCATAACAGATTTAAAATGAAATCCTAGATTACAGTTAAGATTACCATAAGTAAGTGCCATAAATGTCATAATAATGACAGAAAGTAACTAATAATTCTTGTACGCTAAGACCATACAACAGACAAGTGGCATAGCTGGTTCTGGAATGTAAGTTTTTACATTTAACGTCAAGTCAGTGTCATTTTCCACCACTGGCAATGGCTTTCTTCTCCATCACAAGATACCATTTGCCCCAACTACTTCAGATAATTTGTAAGACTTACAAAATAATTTATAACAAGAGGGAAGCCAAAATCCACATTTCTCAACCATGAGATTAAAATCACATGGAATGGATTATGATGAAATCTTACCAATGAATTACCCGTCAGAAATTTTCTTCAACACATTTTTTATTCAGTGTCTAAACTGGTAATAAATAAGAATACAACATCCTCTATCTTAGTGATAGTTAAAAAATCAGAAAATCCCCAACTTTTTACATTTTGTGTCTCAGTAGTCTGTTAATTGTTAGTTTTGTTTTGGTGTGCATTATTATAGAAAAAGAAATGCTGTGTAACATGTTTTGCAATTTGTATGCCAAGAATTTAAGTGACTAAATGTGAGTCATGATTGTGGTGCTAATGTAAAAAGGCAATCTCACCAAAACTAAAAAGAACCTGTATTTCGAAGAAAATAGTGTTCCACTAGATTTGGCTCAGCTCCCTTCTCTGCCCAGAGACATGTCATTTTAAAAATAAATATTCAGGGGCTGGGGATTTAGCTCAGCGGCATAAGCGCCTCCCTTGTAAGCAGGCAGTCATGAGTTCGATCCCTGGTACCGATAAAAACGAAAAAGACCAAAAAATAAATAAATAAATAAATAAAATAAAAAATAATATTCAATTGGCTTTAATAAACTTGAATTTCTCTTTCTTTCAAGACTAATAATTCAGTGTAAAGGTTGATATTAGTATGCAAATAAACTATTATGAATGTATTAGCCACATACTTTACAATGATTAAGGGAATGGTTGTTAAATTTAAGTGTAATTACAAAGAAAAATCAGTATCATGGCAACCCATTCTTCTCCAAATGATTTATAAGGAAATTTGTCAGATTCGGACAGAAGGCAGGTATGGTATATATGTATGCAATTCCAGATACCGAGGAAGCTAAAGAAGGAGGATCAGAAATTCAAGGCCACACTGGGAATTTAACAAGATTTATTTCAATGTTTTGTTTTGTTTTGTTTTGTTTTAGGTACCAGGGATCGAACTCATGACTGTGGCACTTGCAAGGCCACTTATGCCACTGAGCTAAATCCCTGGCCCTGTTTCAAATTTTAAAAGAGGACTGGGAATGTAGGTCAGTGGTAGAATGCCCTGGATTCAAACCCCAGTATGGAAAAAAAAAAAAAAAAAAAAGGAAGGAAAGAAGGACAAAAAACAAGCATATCAATAGTTTTCTCCTTCAACAAATGCAAAACTACAAAATACAAAACATGATTAAAAAATACAAAACATGATTAAAAAAAAAGATTGACTCAAAACTCCTGAGGATCAAAAGACACCCTAGGTACAGCATATGAATACCTTACAATAGCTATGGACGTAACAGAGAATTATCTAGAATATACAGAGCCTCTACAATAAGAAAACAGCAAACAATCTTAGAGGAAAGAAAGAACAAGCATGTGAACAAGCAATTCAAAGAAGAGTCAATGTGAGTGGCCAATGAATACAAGCATTATTTAGATTAGAAAAATTATTGAAGTACACAGCTGGGGGAAAATGAAGGAAAATTCTGAGACAGAAGAGTCAGCTACAGATGTAGCCAAGTGGTCAGAGATGTAGCTCATTTCAATACACACAAGGTCCTGGGTTCAATCCCTAGCACTGCATAAAAAAATAAAACCCAGAAGAATGTTAAGCCAAAGGGATGTGGGTAGTTTTTTTCTTTCTCACTCTTTGGTAAACTCCTCAGAAGGTTCGTGCATTGCTTTTATTATTTAAACATCTTAAGAATGGTGAACTCAATACTGATGCATAAGCCCTCACTGGGGACAGCACAGGGTTCACTGGTCACTCCTCTCCATATTCCTTCTTACAAGTACAGACACATTTCTCTGCATCTCTCTTGGGAGCCCCTTGGTGACCCTCTGTACCAATCAAGAGCTCAGTAAGCACATGAAGGATCTGGTGCCAAACTTCCATCTGAGCCTCTCTGACTTCCCCACTAATCACTGCCTGTACTATAAAAAGACGTGATGGGAGAGTGAGGTCCCAGCCAGCTCTTCCATCAACTGCCTGGCCAAAAGGGCCCCACTGGGTCCTTTTAACTCTCTAGTTCCTTGGCTTTAAAGGGATATAGTGGGAATGATCTCCAAAGTTCCCTTGTTTGAACTTTCTGATCGTAGGTACAAACTACTAAATAAAGCCAGTAATAACCATGGGAATCTTGGAACCCCCACACTTACATCTACAAAGATCAACAAAATTTACAGTAGATAAAAGTCATGCTCAGATATCTGAAATCATGATTTCATGCAAATTAGTACTTGGAGTTTACTAAATGCCTCCACTCACTCTGTAGTCTCTATTCACATCGCTCAGCTGCCAATAATTATCAGGGAGGCCCATTCGTTTGTATTCTTCACTGAGATCAATCAGCATCCAGCCTTGCTCTCTTTCTTCTTTATCCAGCTTGGGATTGAATGAAAAGCAGTATAACTCCTCATATTTCACTGTAAAAAAGGAAAACACAAAGCCAAATCAATCCAATCAAACCAGAACCACGCTCCCCAAATACACTCTGTGCCCACTTGAGTGTGCCCTCCCTGTTCTGGTATGCTCCCAGGAGTACCTGCCTCTGGGACAGAGTCACTCAACTTCCTCCCAGCAATGAAAGACTACTCTGTAAGAGATCTCTTCCTTTAAGAAACAGGGCCTTCTAGCTTGGGCTTTTTTTTTTTTTTTTCCCAACTTACTTTAAAAGTAAATATATTTTCCAAACCACATTAGACACCAGGAATTCAATTGTTTAATATATATATCAAGTTTGGATTTGGGGTGGCCTCTCAGAAATAGAACATGTCCAAGTCAGTTCCACATTTTGATGCTCATAATATTAAAAAGGAAATAACAATTGTGAAAGCTTTGGATTATATGTTTGCATCAAAAATATTTAAATTTTTACTAACTACATAAATATCATAATTTCATTGCTTGTTGATACTAATAGGATTCCTTAAAAAAAAAATCAGTTTAAGTACATAGCAGCCTAGTCATGGAGATTAAGTTGAAAGTCTTTCAATTTTGTTATGGTATTTCTGTCTTTATATATATCATCTCTTATGCTTTTGAAGTCAAGCCAAATAGTGCATTGGTCTTCATTTCAGTGAAATCTAGGATTCGGTTTTCTTGCTCTGGTCCTGCTATATAGGAAAAGCGTCTGGTGCATCTAATGTGTGTCTAGTGTGTCTGATGAGACATCTGAGTTCAGATGTGGGCACATTTCAAGCACTGAGAAGGCGTCTGTATCCGGTGGCTACCATGCAGACTGACGATGAATTACTGACGGTGACAAGCAAAGTCCTTATTTTATTCTAGATTCAATTCTAATAAATGTATTCATCTAGTCAGTGGATACTGTGGTCGTCCTCATTTCATAAATAATAAATCTGGGGCAAGAGAAGGTTGAGGATCATTCCTTTATACAAGTTACACAGGTAACAGAGGAATCCAGACTGAACTGAGGCGATCTGGCTGCAGACTCTTCATCACTACGCATGCTGCGACCCCAAAGCAGAGCCTTCCCTCTTCTGACTTTCCTTTTCTTGTTCCATCTCCCTAATCAAATGGCTTATCTCCAGTAGATTCTATTTCCTCATGGATTTCCTAGGCCCTCCCATTTTCTTTTCTGCTTGCTGACAGCACTCAGTATAGAGAGTTAACATATCTAGTGTATCTGAAGGCCCTATGAAGGGTCTCACCACCAGCAAAAGACTGAGTAACATACAGGCAGCCTGAGATCAAAACAGTTTCAAATTTGTTCAGATTGCTACTGAAACGACTCACCCATAAAGAATAATAATATGAGTCATTATGAGTACCAGATTTTCTTCATTAGACACATACTCTTTCTTGTGAATAAGGGACATGGCTTGATAAATTATGTGCCATTTCACTCTCTTCCAATGTCATCTTTCTAAGCTTCAAAACTTAGAATACTGACTCTGAACAATAGGATAATATACACAATAATTACATGGACACAAAAAGAGCATATATTTTTTAGGAAAAAAGCTTCTCAGCATTTTAACTAATCAGGAAACAGCACAGAAAACTGAGATCTTGTTCTGGGAACAGCTGGTTCAACACTGAGACTCTAAGTAACATTTTCATGACTCAGGCTTCTGCTACCATAATGTTAACCGCAAATACACTCTATTTATGATGTCAAAAGAATCTCTCAAAAAAGCTTCAGTTCCCTCAGTGAAAGGCAAGATGATGAATATGGGGTAACAATGACAGTCAAACTTTTTGGTTAAAAACTTACAAATAGTTTTAAAGGTATAAGAAGAAAAATATTCCATGACTACTAAGGTTTCTTTGTGTGTGAGCTGAGGTCTGTTCCTACTGGGAAGAAGCAATGAAACATAATTAAAGCAAGAACAACACATAGCAGACATTAAGAGGACCACTGCTGGACTGGAATACATTTGAACAGATTGATACAGGTTACAAAATTTTTTTTTTTGGAGATTTTTTAGGAGAAGAGTAATCAAACTTCAGACTTAATTTAAGTAACATTCTACATGAAGGCAAAAATGTTCATTTTTATTAACCAAAGCTCAATCTTGTTAATGTGGACAGGTATCTTACCCAGCAGTCAGCACAGAAGTAGTCTGGGAACTACCTACTCTGAGAGATTAAAAAGTATCAACGTTGGGGCTGGGGATTTAGCTCAGCGGCGTAAGCACCTGCCTTGCAAGCAGGCGGTCGTGAGTTCGATCCCCGGTACCGATTAAAAAAAAAAAAAAGTATCAATGCATAGATATAATTTCACTGAGTATTTCCCATCTCATAATGTTCTGTTCCTCTCACTACCAAATAATACTTACAAAATTCATACTAGAATTTTTAGTAATCATCTGGAAGGTAAGGTTAAAAAAAAGTCTATGATTGGGGAAGTTTCTTCTGTCACTGTAGATTTCTTAAAAATTACTGACTAATTACAGTTGTATATATTTAAAATATATACAGTTGTATATATTTCGCATTGTGGTATGACTCACAATGCGAAATGATGAAAACTAATTAACACACACATCCTCTTAAACATTTCACATTTTGTAGAGTAGAACATGTGACATTTACTTTAGCAATATTAAAATGATATTAAAATTTACTCTTAGGGATATTAAAATCAATTACTAGCTATCTTTATCATGCTGTGCAATCAATCTAAACAAAAAACAAATCAGCCTTATTCTTCCTATTTAACTGAGGCTTTGTACCCTTTTGACTATCAACTGTCTATTTCCCTTTCCCCAAGTCTTGGCTAACCTACCATTCTTCTCTGCTTGTATCAGTTCAATTGCTTTAGATTCCATACATATCTTTCTGCTTGGTTTATTTCACTTAGAAAATGTTCTCTAATACTAGACATGCTGTCAGAAATGAGAGTTTCTGTCTCTTAAAAAGTTGAATCTTAAACTGAGAATATAGCTCAGTGATAGAGCACTTCTCTAACATGTGCACAGTTCTAGGTTCAATATCCAGATGGACCAGAAATTTTTTTAAAAAATGACTGAATCTCACATTTTATCTATTCATGTGTTGATGGACACTTAAATTGACAACTGGGCTATTGTGAAAAGTACTACAATGACTACTTCTCTTCAATAGTTGGTTTCAAATCTTTTAGGTAAGTACTTAGAAATGGTACAGCTCAATCATTTGTTTGTTTGTTTATTTGCTTGCTTGTTTGCTTTCTACTGGGGATTGAATTCAGAACTTTCTCACTGAGCTACAGCTCCTGTCCCTTTTTACTTACTTATTTTTATACTGAGAAAAGATCTCACCAAACCACTAAGTTGCCCAAGGTGGGCTTGAACTTGTAATTCTCCTTTTTGTAATTAAAAAAAGAAAAATCAGTTTTTTGAAGAACCACCATACTATTTCCTATAATGGCTACACTAATTTACATTCCTACCAACAGCGTACAGGTTTCTTCTTTTTTGCCTTTAATGCATTAATTTATTTGAATGAACATACAAACATTCCTAAAAGTCATGGAAGACTTGAACAAGCACACATTTTTATTTTCTAAATTAGGGATACATGAGATCATGTAGCACAACAGCAGAAGATGCAGGGGTAGCTCTGCTTGCTGCAAGAGGATCCAGGATGGAGAAGGGGCAGTTAGTGGGGCTGAGGGTGCTTCATGGAAAAGCAGGATCTTGAGTGGATTTGAACTAGGGAGTTGGAGAGGGTTGAAGAAGTTACATCAGGACCACACTCAACAGTACATATAGTTTGTTTTCCTCCACATCCTTGCTAGTGCAAAAGAATGATCTGCTTTTTATATTAGCCATTCCAACAAGTGACAGATACTTCAATGTGGTTTTAATCTGCATTCCCCTAATGATTAGTGATATTTAGCATTTTGTCATCTCTTAGCTTTTGATAGGTCTTCTTTTGAGAAATGCCTATACACAGAGTCCTCTGTCTTATTTCACAATTAGTTTATGTTTTTCACTACAAAGTTAACGTATTTTGTATATTAATCTTTTATGAGATATATGACTTGCAAATATTATTTTCTGATTCATAGGTTTTTCTCTTAACTTTAAGTATTGCTTTGTTGTGAAGTTTTTTTTTTTTAAGAGAAATTTTTAACCTTTACAAAATCTGAACTGAGAGAAAGATATCTGCCTCATAGAAAGATCATATCCTTCAAGTGATTCACCAACTTCTAAGACAGATATGCTAAAAGCTATCCTGGCTTTTCGCATCACAAAGTCTGAGCCGTCATTAACACAAAGTATCTTTGCTGTGAGTGATCACAGGTTTCATCTGCACATGCATGTAGGGTCTCACATTCAAGAACTTTGTTACTTCAAAGGCAAAGGAGCTATTTCTACATGAAGCACATACTCAACATGTCTTTGGATTGCGGGAGCAAACTGAAAGGACACATTTAGTTTAAAACATTTTCAAAACTATTTCAGAAATGTAGAAATCACTTTAGCACTTACTTTGCCATGTATTATATCTACTTAAATTATACAGCTATCTTAACAAAGACAGAAAGAAATATTTCTCTACCTACTCAGAAAGCAAAATGACAACTACTAAAATACTACATGAAATTATGAATGAACATCATTGTGGCTCAATTTCTAGGAAAACCTAACTGACATTCAGTTCAAAAACGTAAGTTCAACCAAATTGAAGAGATAAATGTTCTGATTTATTTTATTTTAACACTATTGTCCGTGCATGATCTTCATACCTAGGGAATCATATGTCACTACAATCCAGTTCAATTTCTGTTCTCGCTAATTTCTTCATGATCAGATAATCTTACTTCCCAGAGAAAATGCAGACCATCCAGTGGAAATAACAGATGCCATCTGATCAACCTGGAATCAATAACCCCCAACTGGACCTGTATCTACATCAAATCTTTGTTCTTTCTCTGTCAAATAAAGGGAAGAGTATTCATTCTGTCCAAGAAGAGAGAGACAGATGGATGGACAGACAGAGTAAAGCAAAACATTAAGGAAGGAAGGAAGATAAACTAGCTTGTTTTACAAGTATCAAATTAAAGATTATTAAACAACAGATGAAGTATTTAGGAACACAGAGGGACTGCCTCTCCATACACACTAAGTGGGATAATGAAGGGTAACAATATTAAAATGAATCATGCTTTTAAAATTTAGATAAAAAACAAAAAGTAGGTAAGAGAAAAGTTAACAGCTCCCCCCAGAAGGACACAGAATTGTGAAAATTTTAATATTACTGAAAACCAAGTTGCTCTAAACATTCTGCTAAATTCAGGCAACTTGAAAGCATATGTAGTAGAAAGGTCTTCTAGATGGGGGTGAAAAGACAGCACAGTTATTAATGAATTTTATATATTTAAAATAAAAATAAAGAGGGTGATTACCTTTGATGTCTATTTTAAACAAACAAGTGTTTCAATTAAACAGGAGGACTGTTAAAGCTAACACAGTAGAAAAGGACTACTGGACTTAGTATCATCAATAAAAAAGAATTTACCATTAAATTGTTTAAACATCCTTAACTTAGATAAAAAATATAAAAGGATAAATTTAAGCAAATGAAACTTCAACCATGAGATTTTTTTTAAAAAAAATAAATATGAAAGATGTTGGATGTGGTTCAGGGGTAAAGCACTTACCTAGCTTCGTTTGAGCCTCGGCACTACCAAAAAAATAAAAATAAAAATAAAAATAAATAAATAATTTTTTTTAAAAATTAGAAAAATTGAGAATCAAGAAAAATGTTTAAAAACATCTGTAATAAGTAAAAATGGGAAAATAAATAGAAGAAATTATTTAAATGTTGAAGAGCCCACAAACACTAAAGAAAGAAAGATAATTGATGCAAAAATAAACAGCAGGAGGGAAATTAGAGGGAAGAGTAAAGAAAAGAGAACATGGGAAAAGTAGAAGCCCTCTGAGAAACAGGGGTCTTTTAATCAGAAAATTTTATATCCTTATTAGTACATTGGATCTGCGGATTACCTCATTTTCTCCTTTAAGCCACAATCTTTATTTTAACTTAAGCTATTTCTTTTCTTAACTTAGCCACATTATTTTGTTCTAGTGTGTTTTACAACCCACAACATATGCTTACCACTTGTTAGTCATACAAAAAACAAACCAAAAAATCTCTCCTAAATTTTTCAGTGATTTGATTTACTCCATCTTATAAATCCTGAGAATCTTGAGAGCTTCAAAAATACTTCTTTCATAGGCTTTGGCCTAAATGAATTCACAGATAGATACTCCTTTTGTAAGGGAAAAAAACTGGTCTTCCCTACGACCCTACAGTTAGCTGTGTCCATGAGGGGAGCTGAAATAAGTGATTTGTGTTGGTGGCTAACCAGAGAAAGTACAGAGAGCTATACTGTACTAACCTGCGCCAGAATTCAAAGCACAATTCCTCACATAAACATGCACAAATGCACGCACATCCCCTTCTTGGTATACCTATTGGGTAAAGACGTATTCTGTCAACTATCCTTGGATGGTTCCAATAAACATTCCCCTGACTGTAGCTGAAAGCCACTGCTTCAAATGTGACCTCTCCACGTTTCCCATCTCCTCCCAGATTCAAAATCCTGTTTTTAAGATAACTGCCCGTAATAAAGTCCTGACTTGACTGTTGCTTTTAACATTAAACTGTGGATCTGTCCTATTTCATCTTCCCACAGTTATTAAAGCATTGTGTTACATAAACTGGCATTTCTAATGTTCATATTTCAAAATGCTAATGACCATTTAAATCCTCTCAGGTGATGGCTTTAATTCAATTAGTTACGATGGCTTCCATTTTTGGTAAAGACAGCTAGTCAGGTTTCTGGGTACATCTAATGCCTAAATCCCAAAGTGTAATCTTTTATGTGTACATTTTTAAAAGAAGAGGGACACAGTAGCTTCTTCCCAGAGAATCCTGACAGTGAGTCTTGGCACCGCTGTCTCTGGACCACAGACCTTACCACTGTGTGATCTATTCTTCCAGCTGCTCAGCCCTTTCCCAGTTCTCTGGGCTATTCCTAAATCCCATTAATCCGGTCACAGCACATTTATTACCCAGTACACCCATTAATCAGTGACACAGAAATTACTGGCACACAATTCTTGCATTCTCTGCTGCATGCAACCTAATGTACATCTTCCCAGAACTTCTGTTCCAATTATAGTGCACCCTCCAAAAAGTTCAACTGTTTTTCTGGCTTACTCTGCAGTTCCTTTCAACAAAGAGGGGGGAAAAAAGCCTCAATCAATTCCCTTTAAAGGGAAACAAACTCAAAATTATCAGGTTTTGATAGTTCCCAGACATGACTTCTCACAAATACTTTAGCTCTCAGTTATCTACAAATGATATGGCACATCATAAGGAACTCAGGACCCAAGCCAATAACTTAAGAAGTTAACATTCAAATTTTCTTGCCTTGAATCAAAATGTATTTGGCAAAATAACATAAGCACATATCTCCCTACCTTTATTGATAACTGCTGTGCAACACTTAACTTTTAGATAAATGACTTTTCATTGTATGCTCTTAAATAATGTAGAAGAATGCTTCTTTTGAGCAAAATAATACTATAGCTCACACAAGCTACACAGAGACAAGAGCACTTCAGTAGAAATAGTAAACTATAAACCTGAATACTTCAATACTAGAACAAGATAGAAACAGTACGTAGTTTTTCAAATCAAAATGTTCTTGCTGTTACACTTAAGAAGGTATTGTTTGAAAAGTAACATATTTATACCCTGAATATTCACTGATGCTAATGAAAGTACATTTAGTTGCATTAATTTTGGAAAACTCATATTACTATAAAAAACAAATGGAGACCAAACTTTAAAGGTCTTCAGAAGGAGGATGTACCAAAAGTGTTGAGTAACAAATGTTTTCCACACAATACAATTCATCAATTATGCCGGGGATGGTAGTGCACACTTGTAATCCCAGTACTTGGGAGGCTGAGGTAGGAGGATTACTGTAAATTCAAGGCCAGCCTAAGCTATATAGTGGGTTCAACTTCAGCCTAAACTACAAGGTAAGACCCTGCCTCAAAAAAAAAAAAAAAAAATCAGTCTTGTCATGGCCTCATTAAAAGTAGCTCCATTATCATAGTATCAGAAGGGCATACTTTTAAGGTGATTACATCCTGAGAGAAAAACTCATTACAATCCCTACCAAGAAAATGTGAATATTAAGATTAGTGAAAGAAGCCCACCCCAAAGAAAAGAACTTATGTATCAGGTGATCACTCAAACTTCTTGGACTCATCGGAAGCCGAAGATGACATAGAATTCCTAAAATACTGTCATCCCTAAGCACTCTACAAATTCTTACACAGGATTTGACAGTTCCTAACAGTGATCTATATCAAATGCCAAGCTTCCTTGCTTACCTGGCTTTGCAAGGCGTATCAGAGAGATGTATACATCATGGCAATCTCTTTCCTGTGGTATGATGAGTTGTATAATCTGAAAGTTCTTACAGCGAATAAGCAGAGGACAACCAGTAGCAGTAGTTGCCTGTTTTTCAATGGTGGAAATCTGACTATGGAGAATCTAGAATCCAAAATTAATTAAGAAACATTAAGCACGAATAATTAGCAGATATGACAAAGGCTACCACAAGTTTCTGAGCTATACAGTAGACAAGAAACACTTCCCAACCTTCAGTAGTTCAACACCTGCACTCAGCTGATAAGACTTGAGATGTTCCAACTGACTAAATTAATAATTTTATTTTTCAATACAAAGATTTCTGATATCCAGTATAATTATTTTGAGGCAAACTATTCACCATGAGAATCTGTACAATTTCAGGTAAGGGAACATTTTGTAGTCAAATGCTGAATGCAATTACAGCTAAAATTAAATAAAGTCATGAGAAGTTAGCAAAATAAATTTTGCGTTTAATAGATGGTTCTGCTAGGAGATGCCACCATGGTTTAAAAGATGGTTCTGCTAGGAGATGCCACCATGCTCTTTAATCCCACATATGATGTTCAGATTTGATAGTAACTTGGGATTGTTGTTTTCTAAGCTGATGATGATAAGGCCAACTACAGAAGAAAATACTTAATTTATTTTTAATTTATTAATATGATTTTCAGTTGGCAAATTATCATTATATACATTTATAGGGTACAATGTTCTGGTGCATGTATATGATATGGAAAGATTACATTAATCTAATATATCTACCACCTTGCTTATCTACTGATGGTAAAGCATTTGAAATTTATTCAGTTATTTTGAGATATATTGCTGTTTGGCTACTCTTCCTGTTTATCTGTAACTTTGTATTACTGAATCAACAGGTGCTCATTCCCTCCCGTTTCCAGTCTGTTCCCCCTTCAACCTCTGATCCCATCATTCGAAGAGATTTGAAAGAAATCATAAGGAAATCCATTTCTTTGGCATTTCCAGAAGGTCTGCACTCAGCCCTCAAAGGCAGCACTTCAGTCTCTAAATTCCTTTCTACTAAGCAGTGCCTACCATTTTCTGCTAATAGCAAAACATGGTCCACTGAATATGGAAAGAGGAAAAGCTTTACATTTCAGGGATTTTGTTCTGGTCATAACATATGGTAGGGTTACTATCTAATGTTAGAAATAGCTAATGATTTTATTATTAAGTAGTAGAAATGTTTATTGATGATACTTTAGCTTTTCTTTTTTAAACCATCAGAAAAATGGAGACAACAAAATAAACTGAATAGCTGTACTACATATCTTACAAATAATGTATATAGCAAATGAAATGTGAAAATGCTGTATCTGGCATACTATCATTACTGAATCTCTGCTTGACAGTTATGTAATGAAGCACATATAATTTAAGGCTATTTCTAGACCTATCTTCAATGATGCCCAAAATGATTGTTTAAGTGAATCAGTAGATCAAATCAAGATGACTGTGTAGAAGAAAAGGTGCCATCCCACAGTCCCCTAAACACCCAAACACCAACAGCCTACTTGCTTCACTCTGAGGACAAACATAACACAGGAGGATCAAAATTTTTACTTCAAATAAAATATACAAAGCCAGAAATAAGGAAAGCCTACCCATGTTTCTTTTCTTGTATCAGGTGCATTATCCACGAATATGACATGAGTAGCCGTCAAATACAAAGTACCCAGGGCTGCTTTTTTGGAAGACACTCGGTCTACCAAGCGGACATTTTCAACCTAGAGAAATCAGTTTGATGAAAATAGTTTTTGGTTAACACAACAACAATAACAGCAAAGCTATTCACAAAGCAGTTTATACTTACTCTAAAATGTAATTTTGAAAATTCCCCCAGTAAGGAAAACCAAAATGTATCCCCTTAAATAAGATCTTAGAATATGAACTAGATAAAATTTCACCAATTACTAACATGATTTAAAACAGTACAAAGGATATGTAGACCCTATTCTTTCCTTGAGTTTTAAACAGGTCAGTGTTTTTATTTTAACTATATAAAATTTCTAATTTAAGATAAAAATGTGTTAAAGCTCTGAATTTGCACAATGATTATGCATGAGTTACATTCTCTGCAAAAGAAAACAATATACTTTCCCACGTTTCTAAAGTTGTAGCAATGGCCTTATGGTTATTTGCTTTCATAGAAACTAGTAGGAAATACAAATATACTTAAGGGAGGAAAAGTATCAGAGAAGTGTATAAAAAGAAATCCTAGTAACTTAAGATCCTTATATTCATTTATGATACAGTCTTTGTCGTAATGAATGCAATTCTCATCAGTGAGCTAAAATTAAAACTGCTAGAAGAGATGTCTAGAGATGATTTTTATCAAGTATTCATCTATTTTTTGCAGATCAATCTAAAGAGAATGTGCGCTGGATTCATCTCAACATGAAACACAATGGAAATGATACCTCTACTTTTTTTTCTTTGTAGGACATAAAACCTCAGTAGCTACTATCACTGATGTTTTAAATTTGTCAAAATGTGGTAAACTTTTTAGTCTTTGGTATAGAAGTGATGTTTTTGAAGCCATAGGACTGAAAGAAGTTATTGTGCAAGAGAAGGTAAGGTGGAGGGAGAAGAAATCTAAAGATATTCTATGTTTAAAGATCTTGTAGAAGAGGACCAATCCAAGGTGGGTACTTATTTGCGATTCCAGCATTCTAAAAGGATAAGGCAGAAAGATGCAAGTTCAAACCCAGCCTGGACAACTTAGTGACTTAGAGAGATCTGGTCTCAGAATGAAAAATAAAAAAATGGCTGGGAATGTAGCTCAGAGTGAAAATCCTGCATTCAAACCCCAGTACTGTAAAAAATAAGACAGAGAGACAAAGAGAGAAAAAAAAATTTTTTTAAGGTTTAGGGATATGGCCTAATTCAAAGGTCTTGAGTTCAATGTCAGTACCACCAAAAAAAAAAAAAAAAACAAAACAAAAACAAAAACAAAAACAAAAAACCAGAAAAAAAAAAAAGACAAAAGGGAGGGGGAAGAGGAATTTGAGAATTTGAAAACCACAACAGACAGAAATGGCCATGAAGAAAGCCAATTTTGATATCCCTTGCTACAGTGGCAAGGAGGTATTTATGTCAAATGCTGCTGGGAGATTAAATAAAGCCAGAACTACAAACTGCTCACTGGATTCAGTTTTGTAGAAGACACTGGTGACCTTACTAGGTGTAGTTCTGGGAGCTGGGGATCAGATGCACTAACAGAGCAGCCTGAGGCTCACATTCACAGATGTTGAGACAGCAAAGAAGCTGAAGCCTGACCACTCAGGCAGCACAGGGCAAGGCAAGGCAAGGCCTTTCCAGAAGCGACAGGCAGGGAGAAAAAAAAAAAAGCAATGGGCAGATCAGACACTTTAGAGAAAGCATATCTGTGTCATCAACAAGGCCATCTGCACTTAAGACAGAAAATAAAGTGACTCTTTTAGGAGTGATTTGTGAGGCATAAATTTTAAAGGAATAGAAAAGAGCCAAGGATCACTGGGTAAGGATTTGTTTATCCTGCTTAAGCTAAAATCTCCTCCAGCCCCACAAAGTATATGTTTTTAAAATCAGTCACTATTTAAAGATTCTATAATGTTGTTTAACTTTTGGTGCATTTTAGAAAATATCTGTACTTCATTTTAAGCATTTTCTATTAGGAAGTGAAGTGTTAAAGGAGTGCTAGAGTGGACAAGTCTAATCTCATCTTTTTAAGTCATTTGCTTTTATTATAAGATCAACCCTTCCTTTGGCCAGACCTTCAGGCAGCAGGCAAAAAGCCTTGATGGTCTGGAGGAAGCAGGAGTGGAGTGCTGAAGGTAGGGCTCCACGGCCACCTGTGCTGTAGAACACAAAACAGCAAAAAATCTATGGAGAAACCAATACAGCCCGAACTAGGAAGAATACGCCAGAATTGACCACGAAAATGTAGGCCCCCTGGGAGGTGGCAGAAATTCTCAGGGGAGCTTTGGATTTCTGAAGGGAAAAAGAATTCAACTGTTCAAAAATAACTCTGCCCATGTCTCACAGATCAGGCCAATACCACCTGTTCCTTGATTTATGTCGAAAATTATAACCAACAATAAAAATAATAATAAATATTTTTAGGGTATATGTTCCATATACGCCATGTACTGTGCTATCACTTTGCCTATCTGACCCTAGTTAACCCCCACAACAACCCTGTGCTTTAAATTCCTTCATTAATCTCCACTCAAAGTTCTGTTTAGAGATGGCGATTTCCTCAGGTCATGCATAGAACAGGCAGCAAGACAGCTTGGGGTAAATGAGTATGTTTAGGGAATTCGTTAGTGGTTATTTTAAGCAATGTTATACATCAAACTCAATTTTGAAAATAGAATGCTTTGAGACAAAATTATACTGTGAAACTGTATTTATAAGCAAGTCACTATCAGAATATTATCCTTTGAGATAAGCCCAAAGACAGAAGCTTGGAAACAGGACACAAAAGAGCAAACACTAGTGCAAACACACTTTCAGAATTCTTCAAACTAACAAAAGAGAGAACACTAAATATCTAATTCTATACAAAATGCCTATGTTTATTTTAGCACTCTGTTAGGTTCTGAAGAGAAAAACAAAGGGGTGAAGATAAGGAGTCTTTGAACCCTCAAGATTCTTAACAGACTCAATGGAGAAGACTGTCCCAGTTTAATACTCCTCTTTATTCCTGTCCCTCTTTTGCTGGGGTTAGATGGAGAGGAGAAAAGGTTTCATTGGCTTTTCTGGGCCAAGGCTGAAAAGCTTCAGTCAAAGCACAGGGCTTCACCCCAGCACTGCCGGGGCTGAAAGAGGATACCTTGGCTGCAGAACACAAGTCCTTCTTCTTCCTTCCCCTGCTGCCTGCCTGAGAATCAGCAGGATCTTATAAATTACAGAGAGCACAGCCTCTCTTTAGCAATTTTTATCATACTACCTTCTAATTTCAATTTTAACAGAAGATGGGCCTTTACTTTTCACCCCATAGGTCAAAGATTAGACTGGTAAATCAGTTCCAGGTCGGTGAAGTTGCTCTATAGTATGAGGAATTCAGAGAAGGGTAAGTTCCCATTCATTGAAAAGGACAGAAGAAAAACCAATGGCACTGGCTATAAGGTTTTTTTGGGCGAAGGACCAAATACTCAGTGCCATATAAATTAGGCTAAAGGTCACTGTCAATCATTTAGGGGAAGAGATCCAGAGACTGTTGAACAAGGAGAAATCAAAATGTCTGCAGCAGCCAAAACCTAAGACAAGTTTATGTTCTAATCTAAGAAAAGCAGTTAGATAAATAGTTTGTCGTGCTAAATTTGGTACTGTGACATTTTCTAACTCTACCAACATGAAAAGAAAAGTATTTACAAGTTAAGAGGCCTGGACTCTGGTTCTGGTCCTGGTTTTGAAACTGAACTCTGGGCATAGCCAATGGAGTCACTCTAGGTTTTAATTTCCATAAAAAAACCTAAGGGTCTCTAATGTCTCCCTTCACTCTAGTTAGCTGCAGCTCTGACTCAGTAGTACTTTAGCAACAACCTAGGCTACAACTCTGAGAATATATCCAGTTGGAATTTAATTATTAAATTTCCCAGAAATTCAGGTACTTGGAAACATGGCCAGCCAACACTCTTGTGACTTACAAGGCAGGCTCAATAAGATACTACAACAGTCTTTGAATTTAGAGACTGCACTGCTATTCAGAGTTCCAGACCCAAAGGAAAGAAACAAATATCCCAAGTCCAACGATGAGCCTGAGCACATCAGCCCACCAACCTAGGGGAAACACTGAAGAAACTAAAGTTAAGATCACTGCAGTAGTATCTAGAAGTGGAGGCAAAGCTCATTTTCCCTAAAATATTTTTCAATTGTGAATAGAACATGCCATATGAGCCATAAAATGTGAAAGTAGCCTGGCTGGCCACTATCACTGCCTTGTCTGCTCTCTCAGTCTTGTTTGGTGGGACAAATCAGTCTCAAAAACCTAGCTCTCCTGATGGTCCCAGGATCAAATGGGCAGTACCTTAAGGTATGCCCTGGCATTAAGTCACATCATCAGGCGGGATGACGTCCTACAGCTTCTAACTAGTCATACAGTTAATTACAGAAATGCCCGCCTGATAGAAAATTCCAAGTAATGGCTGGTGCCCCTCATCTGTTTATGGCTGCTAGGTAAAATGTTTCTAGTTAGACTCCATAGTTCCCAGACTATGAATGATATCACTTATGAACAATGGCATAGGTAAGAGGGGAAAAATACACCTCAATAGTTCTTAACAAACAGTAACTACTATTAAACAAACCTGTATCAGAAACTTAAGTTTTATTTCTGGTTCCAAGCGAATGTTCGCCTCCTATCTATGACTTTATCCCCTTCTATTAAGCAGTAGCAAGAACACAGAAAGATGGGCTACTCATCTAAAGTTAGCAACACACTTTGACAAGGAAGAAAAAAAACTAAAGCAATGCCAAATTTTCAGACGATTTGAAATTCATTTCTTATAATTACAGGAAGAAAGCAGTTAATTTTCCAATTTAAAGAGAAAACAATTTTCCCCTTACTTATATGAAGTCGCTTAAACAAATAAAAGAAGATATGAAATTTAAGGAGGTTTTTTTTTTTTTTTTTACACAGTCTTTTGGTAGAAAAATCAGGAACATCAATCCTTGCTCCAAAAGGCAAATTTAATCTGTTTAAAACTATAAAACCAATGAAAGTCTTTTCCCAGGACCATTT